GTTAATTATTCAGCTGGGAGTGGTAGTCCTTCCAGAATCCATTCTTCATCCACACCTGCCTGTTGACTGGAATATATTTGTGTAGAATCCATGTGTACATTCCCAACTGCTCTGAGTCTGTGACTGGTGTGACCATTTCTTATTGAGCAGATGTCATTTTGAAGTTCTCCTTCCTGCTCTTACATTCTTTCTGCTCTTCCTTCTGCAATGTTACCTGAGCTTTAGGAAATAGTATAAATGACTTTCTTAGAGGTGAAATACAACCTTTACCTAATCTCAGTACCTTGTACTGCATGATTCTTTTCTTTTATGACCATTGGCTTCAAAGAGAAGCTTATCTCATTAAGGCTGAGTGTAGTATCCATAATGTGTATAAACATAACTTTCACAGAACCCCTCCATATTGTCAATTTAGTTCAACAACTGAATTCAGTTTCACTATAGGACATATGATGTCCCCAATCTTGTGTTTTTCACCTAATTTTCAGCAGTAGGCAAGTATTCTTTCATATGGAGTGGGCTTCAAATCCAATCAGAAAACAGTTAGTTCCTCCCATAACCATACTGTTACTATTGCATAACTGTGTACTTCTGACCAGGCAGGTTGATCTCATAGATTGCAGGATTCATAGCTGGCAAGATGATAGATGTGATTTGTCCTACAGGAGCATGCATAACACCTGCTGGGTTTGTGAAGGCTAGCTCTAGCAGGGAGGAAGATTCCACCTTGGTACTACCTTGTTTTGTGTGATTGTACAGTCAAGGGGTGGGCTGTTATCAGCAATAGGATCTGATCATGTACATATGATGGGAAAAAAGCAGAAGAAATGAAAAGAGTTTGTATTCTTTTGGGGGCCTTGGAGACTCCATGACTAATAACTCAAAAAGAGTTATGTTATGTCTGGCAGGTTATGTTGTTCAACAACCCATGGCTTCTCAAAGCAGCTTTCTCCAGGAAACCCTCTTTTTCAAAAATAATGTTTTAAAGTTTAGTTATAAGATATTAGATCTCTCTATGCCCTTCATTTTGATTAACCCTCTTTATCTATCTTTATTTAGCTATTTCTCTACAAATCTTCTCTTTCTATCCCATATTCCTTTTTGTACTTTCAAATTTCCTTCATTTCAATCTTTTGCTACCATTAAGGCATCTCTTTCCAAAGACCTTTTTATTGTCCTGGCTCCCACAGTTAACTCAAGTAGATCACACAAAATTAGAGATTTGAAACTAGGATCCACCTATGGTGCAGAATGTAGGGAAATCGCCTTTTTGTCATTCCTGGGTTTCTCCCTCAATTTATTCCAGTCCCACCCATTTGCATGATAATTTCACAATATAATTTTTCTTTACAGCTGAATTAGTCCAACTCTATATATGTACAACATTTCATTGTCTACCCATCAGTTGATGGACATCTAGGCTGATTCCCTATTCTAGTTATTGTGAATAGAATGGCAGCAATGAACCTGGATAATGGATTATTTTTAGTAGCGTGTAAAGTCATTAGGTTATATGACAAGGCATGTATAGTCAAGTACTGTCTTAGTTAAAAATCACTATTGTGAGGACACACCATGATTAAAACAACTTGGGGAAGACAGGGTTAATTCATCTTATGCTTCCACATCACATTTCATTATCAGAGAAAGTGAAGACAGGAAGTAAAGCAGGATAGGAACCTGGATGCAGGAGCTGATGCAGAGACTATAGAGCAAGACTGCTTACTTGATAGCTCCTATGGCTTGCCCAACCTGCTTTGTTATAGAACCCAGAACCACTAGCTAAGAGATGGCACCACCCACCATGAATTGGGCCCTTCCCCATCAATCACTAATTAAGAAAAATACCCTATACGCTTGTGTCCAGCCTGATATTATGGTGAAATTTTCTCAGTAGAGGCTCCTTCCTCTCGTATGACTCTACCTTGTGTCAAGTTGACATGAAACTATCCAGTATACTTGCCATAACAGTTATATCTCATTTTATTAGGAATCACCATACCGATTTCTATAGTGAAAGTTTCAGTTTGCATTCTCACCAACAATAGTAAATGAGTGATACTCTTTCTCTATTTCTTCATCAGAATTTATTGGTTTTCTTTTTGGCTTTTTGATGATTGCCATTCAGCTTGGGAATCTCAAAGCAGCATCAATTTGAATTTTCCTTATGGCCACTGGCATTGACATTTCTGAAAATGGTAGCAGATATTCATATTTATTCTTTGGGGATTTGTGTGTTCAAATGTATAGTCCATTCCTTGATTGTGTTGCTTCTTTTCCTCTTTGAGTCTTTATGTTTTCTAAACAGCAGTCTTCTGCTCTATGTATAGCTGACTAGTGGGTTGGTTTTACTTCAGTGTCTTCTTTAAGTTTATTCAGGTGTTTATTCAAATTCTCTTTGAATTCTTTGAACTCCTGAGTATGCTTTTAATTGTTTTTCTTTTTTTTGATTCCCATGTCTTGAGCTTCATCTAAATTGTACTCCCTATATACATGCTATAGGATTCATGATCTTTAGCAGAGACATATTACTTTTATTTTTCATATTGTTTTCATTTTATGATGGGACCTGTGCATCTGGAGTTTGGTTCTTGATTATATCTTTGGTTTAAGTTTTTGACCACCATTTTGGAGTCTCCAGGTTGGTCTTGGACTACATACTTTGGAGGAATCCCAAAGGAACATTGTTTGGTGTCAGTCCCTACAGAGAAGACCAAGATGGGGTATCTAGCTGGGTAACTAAGTTAGTCATAAGAGGGTGTAAAAATGGAGAGTGGTTTCTGTCAGGTTGGGTGTGAAAATTGATTGGCAGTTATATATTCTCTGAGGGTGTGGAACATTATCTTTCAGTGCTTTTCCAGTTCTAAGATGTTTTCACAGAACTCTTGTTATTTTGCTGATAGGTTTTAATTTGTGGGTAAAATGGCACATACTCCTGCATCCTTTAACATCAGCATCTGTTATGTGTCAGCTACTCTTGACATTTGTCACTATATTTTGTTATATAGGTTCTTTCTTATTGATGTCCATTCGGAATGCCTCCGTTGTTGGAATGTCCCTATATTTTCACAGATCAAAGAAAATCCTTAATGCTATAACATCATGGAATTAGTCTTTTGTGCTTTACTCTGTATCTTAGACCCATCCTTTGCCAAAGGATACTGGGGATTGCTTTCTAATTTGAGTTTCAGAGGTCTCCACAGCTGTGATTTTCTCTCTTTCCCTCCCTTCCT